CAAGAGCAGTTCATTTAGAACTGTTGTTAGATTTAACAACAGTGAGCTTTCTCCAAGCTCTGAAATGCTTCACTGCAAGAGGACTAGGTCATATACTCACACAATGCAAAGACATTTAAGGGGCAGACTAAGATAACTTTTATAAAGGGATTGCCTGATCTTTCAGTCCCTTTCCCCGAACAGCTCACTGTTGTCAGGTTATCGAAAAACAGCAATTGCTTCACAAAAGGTAGGATTTAGTTTAATAAACAATAGTTTGTGTCCCAAATGTGTTAACAGAAGCGCATAGCCATGAAAGGGAAAATGCAGAGATGTCATTATTCCCACTTAGACAATACAATCAGACAATTAGCTGAAACACAAAAACACTCCCTTGCTATCCATATACACATAACACATGGACAGTGCAAGAGTGAAAAGTAATGATAATAATAATAATAATAATAATAATAATAATAACAACAACAATAATAAATGCCCCTATTGATCTAAATTCTGCTAAAGCGGTACATGAAAACTAATTTGTTGTTTCATATTTCTTTTTTTGAAATACTAGTTAATTAGTTGTACTGATACAGCATAGAAGTTTTCTGTGGTAGAATGGACTTCAATTCCCTGCTGTGACATAAGCAAAACTGCAAAAGCCTCCATTTGTCAATCTTGTCCCTTCATGCATTCCTTACCCCCTGTAGAGCTTTGCAGCTACATTACTGGAAGTAGGCCATCTAGGAACAGCTCTGTGAATATTAACACAATTGATCTATTTATTTCATTACCGATAAAGCTACAACGAATATTTTATACAAACTGCAGCAGTTTTGGTGCCTGTCACACTGTGCTGGGGAATGAGCTTGACAATATACTTAAACTTTTGTTCTCATTCTGTTTTTTAACTTTGTAGTGCTTGTGTGGAAGAGCAGAAAACAATCTAAAAAAAAAAATGTTTATGCAGATATTTTGTATTGTCTTAAGTTGTACAAGTGCGTTCTGTTTTGCGAAGGAACTGCCTCTCTGGGTTAGTTATGGTTGCGTCCACTATAGGATCACATAACTAACTGCACTTGTTAAGCTATGCATTGTTCGTACATTATTTCATTTTTAACTTGTCATTCTTAGTATTAAAAGGAAAAAAAATGCATGTTTTACACAAAGGAACTGTGTAAACAGTAAACCGTGTTTACTGTTTACTAGTAGTCACCCTCCAGTGCTTTGTACAACACTGGAGAGTTTGCATCTAATTGTAGAAAACAATCTCAAAAAGGCCTGTGTATGTATATATATATGTATGTATGTATGTATGTATGTATGTAACCACAATAAAAGACACTGGCAGTGAGGAGAGCCATTCTAGATCAGCCATTTTGAATCTGTCTGTCTCTTCACCACAAGCAATCTGGCATAGTATCAGTCACATGTACAAAGCTGCCCACTAACCACGCATTCATGAGGCAGGGTTTAAAAAGCACAGTAAAATAACTGAGCAGTCAACATGCTCGAGACGAGACAAAGTGACAGTTCAGTGATGGGGAGGCGGCGGTCTTAAGGTTCTACTCCATTTACACCACAAATTAATAAAGTAACTACTCCAGCTAGAAACACAGAATTTGTGAAACACTGACAATAAGCGCACACTGCATACAGGATAATTTGCGCCCCGTCTTGCACACATACGTCTGGGGGCTGTTTCAAGTTCAAGAGGATTTAATGTAATTTCAGCTCAGACATAATCTGGGATTGCAATAAGTGAGCATCGAGATGGTGTCATGTGTTATGTAGATGTGTATGGGTGTATGTGGGTGTCTATCAGTTCAGTCTGTGGGAGTTGAGGAATCTGATGGCTTGTAGAAAAACATTGTTGCACAGTCTGGCTGTGAGGCCCCAAATACGACGATACCTTCTTCCAGATGCTGGTGGCTTTTCAGATGCAGCGCATGGTGTAAACATCCATAACGGATGGAAGAGAGACCCTGATCTTTTCAGCTGTCCTCACTATTCGCTGAAGGATCTTGCAGTCAGAGGCAGTGCAATTCCCAAACTAGGCAGTAATACAGCTGCTCAGGATGCTCTCTATAGTTCCTCTTTAGAAAGTGGTATGGATGGTGGATGGGAAATGAGCTTTCCTTAACTTCCGCAGGAAAGAGACACCATCAAGCATTCTTGGATATGAAGCTGAGGTTCAGGGTCCAGGTGAGGTACTCCAACAGGTGAATGCCAAAGAACTTGGTGCTTTTAATGATCTCCACAGGGGAGTTGTTTGAGCAGAGGGTGGTCACAAGTCAACAACAATCTCCTTTGTCTTGTCCACATTCAGATACAGACATTAGTTGCCGCACAATGCTGCTCTACAGTCATTAATCAGTAGAGTGAACAGAGGTGGACTGAGTACACTGCCCTTGGGAGCTCCAATGCTCAGTGTAATGCTTCTCCCGATACAGACTGACTGAGGTCTCCCCGTGAGAAGGTCCAGGATCCAACTGCAAAGGGAAGTGTTCAGGCACAGCAGGCTCAGCTTCGCAATCAGATGCTGAGAAATGATAGTATTGAATGCTGAACTGAAGTCTATGAACAGCATCCTAACATAAGTGTTCTTTTTCTAAAAATGAACAAGGGCCAAATGAAGAGTGGTGGCTATGGCATTATTTGTGGAGCAGCTGGGGCAATCTGGGAGGGAGGCATCACTGTCACAAGAGAGTGATGTTTTACAGTATTCGCTGAGGGTCTGAATGCCCTGCCACATGCATCATATTTTGGAAGGTATTTTGGAAGCGTCCATGAATTCTCAGAGCGTGTGCGCACTTCGCCTCTGATAGCTCACATGACAGTTTGGCCCTGTCTGTTCTCAGTAGTCATCCACGGCTTCTGATTTTTGAGTGTGGTGATGGTTTTGGAGACAGTAACATAAACACACTTGTTGATAGTTAATAACTGATGTTGCATATCCTTCCAAGATAACAGAGTCACTGTCCATGGCAGCCTTCCTAAAACATACCCCATGCAGTTTGCTCAAAACAGCACTGAAGAGCAGAGATGACTCCAGAGATGGTCTGCATCTGACAATCACAAACTCCACCAGAGAACAGTACTTTGCGACAAGCACAGAGTTCTTTTACCATTCCGTGTTAATGTAAACACACACCTCTTCCACATGTTTTTCCCTTCAGAGTTGCATTTCTGGTGGCATGAAACAAAGTCAGCCCATCCAGCTGAATGGCGGCATCGGTAATGCTGTCGCTAAGCCATGTTTCAGTAAAAAACAAAACGCAGCAGTCTCTGAACTCTCGCTGGGTAGTCTGCTGGAGTCTAATGTAGTCCAGTTTAGTGTCCAGTGAGCAGACTTTGGAGAGCAGGAAGGATGGTACAGTCGGCCGGCTAGGGCCTAGCACAGACCCGGCCCTCCTTCCATGCTTCTGCCTCCTTGTGCAGTGCTTTCAGCAGACCCTCCCCCGGCCTCCCTCATCAGGCATTGGTGAGCTTGATTCTCTTAGCAAACTGAACTCACATAATTCTGCAGCAGGTTGTGTCTTCCATGTTGGTTTCTGGCTGTTTTCTTATCTGTAGCAGGGTCTGGCAGTGGTAAACATAAGTCATGGTGGTTTCCATGTACTTGCATCAGGAAAAACTTAACACAAAAATGGCACCATTTGCTGGACCCAGAAAGGCCGTTGCATGTACTACCACACCACCATCTCGTTTCATGAAATTTCCAAAATGCAAGTAAAGATCTGTAAGATGCCATAATTTTCTTCTGATTTTTAGGTTCTTATTCAATAATAAAGTTATAACAGTCAGGTTCAGTGTACCATACTTGAATTAATTATAGTTTAGTTTTGGTGTTTCCACTGTATTCACTAGTCATAAATCTAATGTTTTTCCTATTTATGCTTTTATTTATTTTTATATTGTATTAGTTAAACACTCCAGGGTACACATTAAAACATGACTCATACCACAATTATTTTTGTTGAAAAGACAGAAGTTTGAAGGGAGCTGTGTCAATTTATTAACATTAAATAACTTGCTTTGAAGCAAAATATTTCTAGTATTATTTTAGTATCCAGTTAAAATATGAGCTCAGCCCAGTTAGATATTAGCATTCAATGAGCAGTTAAACTAGAGGAAGCTAAAATGGGGAAAATTAAATCAGAATTAACAATTGATAATAATTACATAATTATTTGGAGTATAGTTGTGAAATTCTGCAAACACATTTCCATGGTAAACTACTACAGGCCCTTGCCAGGGATGGGGGAGTAGCTAAGTAGCACGCTACTTTTTGTAGTTAACTACATTTTTGTAGCTATTAGCTGTAGCTGCTAAAGTTTTATTAAATGTAGCTAATAGCTGTAGCGCCTACAAACTTTTGTGTAGCTATAGCGATTTTCACTACAATTTCGCTACAGGCTTCAGGCAATCCGTGCAAAATGTGAACCACAGAACGCAGTCGTTAACTGGGCTGGTAGCGACTGTGCAATCCTGACTGAGCTGCGGACAGCTCGAGCAAACGGTCACGCGCTGACGTTCGGTCAGCAACCAAAATGTTAAGAAGAGCCATTTTGTTCTGTCAACAAAAATGAAACCTGAATAATCTGATGTCTTTATAATTTTTACCAATTTGAGTTTAGAATTACAATAATACGAGAATTATGACCACTCTACAACTCAACAACTGAGTAATCCAGCATTTCTACACCATGCAAACCAACTTGGTTTATGTTTGAAACTTGCGCAAGGAATTAAGGAGCTGTTGAACTGAAGAAACTAAATCATGTGAACAGGAGATCTGACTGTATTTGGCGCCTTAGAGTTGCAGCACAAAGTTCATATCCACTTGAATCTCTAATAAAATATGCCATGAAGGGCTAATAGTGAGATATTTCAAAGGAAATAAGAGTGCTTTTTCTAGGTTTTGAGAACACCAAGCATATTGTATGTAGGTTTTGTGTATCATCTAAATCACAGTTACCAAATGTACAAACCATCCAAATATTCCAAATACTCACAGTAACACGATTATAAATTTTTTCTGTCATGCTAGTAGCCACCAGCTGAAGCTCATCCTCTGTGATCTCTTTCACTGGTCGTATAACATGTGGTTTGCCTTGATTGGGTCGTAGAGATTCCCGTCTTTGCGGTTTGGCATGGACCTGGTAAACAAGAAAACAGGACTGAAAGGAATTTGTGAAAGCAGTGCTACTGATGTCAGGTTATTACGTTTACAGATATGTATGTAAACAATAGACGTTTTAAGCACGTAAGATATACCTTACAACAATATGTTTTGTTTTAATTTTTGGTTAAATAAAAAAAAAAATGTTTCCTACTTTTTTAACCTGACTCTAAAAAAAGGAATATCTTGTACTTCATGGCTGTTTTAAGAGGTTCAAGTCTGACTTTTGCACATACACACCTTCATTAGTTCTTCTTCCAAACTCATTTCCAGCTCACTGCAGTCTTCAGCGGTAGAGAAGTCATCAGCTTCCATCAAGCGAGTTGCTCTCCTAGATCTTCGTTCTGGATTGCGTCGTGCCTCTGAACAGCGAGGAACAGGCTAATCAGAAAAGGTATAGAATATTACATTTTCACAGTGAAAGAAGCCCAACACACACACACACACAAAACAGATTACATAAAACGTAATAAATGTTTAATGCATGCTTAGAAATACAATGGGTGAATACTCATTTTACTGCATAGAAGTGGTAGTACAGGTAGTTACTAAAGATTACAAACTACAAACAAACATTTAACATCTTAAGTTCTTAAGTTACACTTTCTTTAACCTACAGCAGAGCGAGGCTCCTTTTTACGAGTGTGTCCTGTGTTCTTCAGTAAGGCCCCAGGCATTTTCTGGATGTCTGCCATCAGTTCAGCCAACTAACCAAACCACATTTAATGCAAGAAACATAATTCAAATGTTAATATCTACATATAAAGTCACACCATTAGTTGAAAGAAAAAAAAACCTGGTTCACAAGGCATCTTTGCGTTTTAATGTCAATAAACATCTGACAAGACAATTATAGTACCAAAGGTAGCAAATAACTGGGAGGCAGAGATGAAAATGGAACTAAACAGGTTGTTGTTATTAGGAGAAAGGGCAAGCTGACAAGCTACTCGACTTTCAACCTGGAAAAAGGAAAATGAAACTACAAACAGCAAGATGGAGGTGCCACTGTTTGTAATTTCATTTTCCTTTTCCCAGGTTCAAAGTCACCTGAATATTTTTGCCATTTTGAACTGAACTTGTCACATTAAACTAGTCAGACATTAATTTAGGACTTAAGATTTGTAGGCAAGAATGTTAGCTCCAGCAGAGACACAATAAGCTGTGAAAGCACCATAAACACTTTAATCTGAGGAAATCAAACATTCAGGTAAAGGTTGTGTAGTAACCAAGAAGCCACAGATAAAGCTATAACGAATGCACTAATATACAGTCTAATAATTAATGTAGACAACAACACCACCTTGTGTAGGGTGCCAAAGGTTTAAGGCCAGCCCTTATGGAGTGAGATTACAGTCTTTAATGTGAAAGCTTAAAGACAAGGTTAAATCGAGTAAGTCAGAAAAACAAGCGTGCACAATCAAGAAAAGAGCGAAACCGAGAGCAGGGAAACAAGAACTGCGCGCTTCGGACACAGCACACCGGAAGTTTAGTGTGGTCGCTTATCGCAGCCCCGCGCTTGTTTCACTGTTTTCAGTTCGCGTTTCACTTTTAGCTCGATTCTGAAATTTCTACTCTCTTCATAATTACAGCAGGAAATACGTCAGCGACCAAGTCTTGGCAGCTGATTACCTTTGTAATCTTTGTAATCTCTCTCTCTTATATATATATATATATATATATATATATATATATATATATATATATATATATATATATGTACACACACACACACATATATCTCCTTGTTTCTACGCTCACTGTCCATTTTGTCAGCTCCACTTACTATATAGGTGCACTTTGTAGTTCTACAATTACAGACTGTAGCCCATCTGTTTCTCTGCATACTTTGTCAGCCCCCTTTTACCCTGTTCTTCAGTGGTCAGGATCCCCATGAACCCTCACAGAGCAGGTACTATTTGGGTGGTGGATCATTCTCAGCACTGCAGTAACACTGATGTGGTGGTGGTGTGTTAGTGTGTGTTGCGCTGGTACAAGTGGATCAGGCATAGCAGTGCTGCAGGAGTTTTAAACACCTCAGTGTCACTGCTGTACAGTCTGTAATATCCAGCCAACAGCGTTCTGTGGGCAGTGTCCTGTGACCACTGATGAAGGACTAGAGGACGACCAACACAAACTGTGCAGCAGCAGATGAACTATCGTCTCTGACTTTACATCTACAAGGTGGACTAATAGAGTGGACAGAGAGTGGACACAGTGTTTAAAAACTGATACACTCATACCAGTGCAACACACACTAACACACCACCACCACATCAGTGTTACTGTAGTAACAATTATGAATCATTAAAAAATTGCCAGTTACAAATAACTTGAGTGCTCCTGTATCTACACTGGCTTAACCCACATATAACACACATTTTGTTTTTGCAAGATGTCATTAAGGCTGGGAAAGAGGTTATATTAATGATATTTGTACAATGTGTTTTTTTTTTTTTAAATAAAACTTTTATTAAACGTTCAGCTAATTAATTGACTTCACACCTTAGAGCCGCTTGATGTCCCACATCTGAGCTGTCTGCTTTTGCTGTTAGCTTGCTTAATACTATAATAAATAAATAATTTTTAATCAACTATTTCTTTAATAAACTAATGCAAGACTGAAAACAGTTGTTGAATGTGTGTATAATTCAGATAATTCAATTTTTTAAGCTGGAAAAAAACACTGGCAACAAATTCAGGCAGTCACAAACTGTGAACGCTTGCAGTCAGGTAATCAGCTACCAAGCCTTGGCTGCTGACGTATTTCCTGCTGTAATTATGAAGCGAGCAGAAATTTGCTTTGAAGCGAGCGCTAAAACCTCCGGTGTGCTGCGTCTGAAGCATGCGGTTCTTGTTTTCCTGCTGTCTGTGTCGCTCTTTTCGCTTGTTTTTCTGACTTACTCGATTTAACCTTGTCTTTGCGCTCTCACATTACAGTAATCTCACTCCATAAGTCCTGCTGTATATTACTGCACATTTGATTATAGCAAACACATATAAAACAAACTATAGTTTGGCACATACCATTGCTTTGTTTGCTTGGATATTCATGGCTCTCTTTTCAAGAAATGAATAATCAGAATCAGATTCAGATTCAGATTTACAGGGAGATGGAGGTTTCTGCTGAGTGTTCTTTGATGCCTGATCCACCTCCAATTTCACATGATTTTCAGACCTAACAGGTTTCATCCCTGTCTTCTCTCCCCATGTATCTTCATCTTCACTGATATTAGGAAGGGAGCGGGGTCGCAGGGCTATTCTCAGGGTAAATCCCACATGAGCTGGTTTCTTTGGTGAGAACTGCTCAGTACTTCTACCATCACAGTCAGACTCTGAATCCTAGAAAAGCAGTTATGTGTCAGGTCACATGTAAACATATTGGTGTAACGAAAATATTTGGCGTTGTAAAATAAATACATAATTTGAGGCATGAAGCTGACGCTCGTTGTATAGCACTACGGCTAATAATAATGCAATGACATTTTGCTAGCAATCATGGAAAAAAAAAAACATTCGAATATCTTAAGGATCTGCTTACATTGTGAATGTCGTCGAGAATCATTTTAGTCTCAACGAACCAACAACAATGCCTTCAATCATTAATAAAAAGCGAAGGGCAATCTTTTAACCCATTCAGTTTAAGGTTAGATGAGAGGTGATCGTCGTTTTCTACGCGACGTAAATTATTTTCTGCTCAGTAGATGATGCTGGCTGAGAACATTACACTGAGAACTTATAAATAGCTATATTTTCTAGCTTCAGAGAGCATAGCCACACTTACTCGGATTTCTCATGTCTACTACGTTAAGACAATCGTGTTTCGTAAGGTTAGCAGGGTAAAACGATGTAACTACAATCCTCTCATCCAGTAATTTATACTTCATAGCTAGGCAAAACGCTAAAGCTATGGTACCGTGGAATAAATTTTTCTACGGAGCGTCGACTATCTTGGTTACACCAGAGCTGATTTCTTTTCCTTTTACTTTCCTTCTTTTTAAGTACTTATGAAAATTCGAATAAGAAGCAAACTTCTGCTTCGTTTATGGCCATGCATGCATAAGAGTAAATAGATCAATCAACAAACTGAACGTCCTTTTTCACACATCACAGAAGAGTGAAGAAGATTCTGAAGAAAATCGCAGTTGTTTGATGTAGCCTAGCTAAAGAACATCTCCAAACTAATCCATTTCATCTAACCTCTAAGAAGCATGATTCTACAGTATGAACACGCACATATCTCCACAAACAGCTGACTAACCTTAAAATTACAGTCACTTAGTTCTCCATCGGAAAATCCAAGAAACGTTTTATCATTTTCCGAATCTTCATCAAAAATATCCACAAGCTCTTTATATAGCTCGGGCATTCCAAAAGATACCTGAGAAGGCAAGAATAATTGCGTTAAAATATGGAATTTACTAAATGAAGCTAAACTAGCAGTTGCTTCATTGAAACCACTCAACAACCTTTTCCATGCTGTCGTTTCGACGATAGCACTCCAAACATGCGCCAGAGCAGGTTGTCTGCATGTGCTTTGAGAGTGGTCCTAATACAGCTTTCCTGCTTCTATTGGGTTACTGCCTGCTGCCTGTGTTAAAAAATGTCAGCTAATTGGCTTATCTGTTTTAATGAAGTAATTTTATACTTTTACTTTTTTTTATTGTTAACAAGCTTTATATCACCAATGCAGTAGAGGAGAGTGATTATAACGCCGCCTAAAATAGCGAGATCGGTGTCTGCGACTTTGTGCTAGGCACTGAATTGACCGTATCATATCAGCAGCGCGTTACGTATGAAGCGCTGCTTTGTTTGCGCTCTGAGCTTGACAAGGAATGCATGGGCCAGATTCATACATACATACATACATACATCATCTAAACCGCTTATCCTTCTGGGGCGCGGTGGGGTGCTGGAGCCTATCCCAGCTGTCATTGGGCGGAAGGCAGAATACACCCTGGACAGGTCGCCAGTCCATCGCAGGGCAGACAGACAGACGCACACATTCACTCACACCTAGGGGCAATTTAGCGTTTCCAATCAGCCTGACTGCATGTCTTTGGACTGTGGGAGGAAACCGGAGTACCCGGAGGAAACCCACGCAGACACGGGGAGAACATGCAAACTCCACACAGAAACGACCCTGGTCGCCCGGCCGGGAATCAAACCCAGGCCATTCTTGCTGTGAGGCAACAGCGCTACCCACTGCGCCACCGTGCTGCCCTGGGCCAGATTCATTTTTCTTTATTATCATTAATTAATTAAACACATTGGTTGTACAAAAGCAGTATAAAGTAGAACAAATATAGTTATATCAGATAACAAACTGCATAAACAAAAAACGTAGTAATAATCTTAAACAACAAAGTTTAAACAATAAAACTAAAGCCAGGGGGTAGAGCACATGTTTTTACAAACTAAAGATGGTGCATATATTCATTGTTTTGACAGTTTTTTTTTGAGAGGGTAATAGAGGTTATGTATTGTTTAGCTTCTATTTCAAATTTGAGAAAATCTGGTTTGGAATGAGTAAATTTACATTTTATGAATATGACATTTTGTCAAAAGAATGATCAAATTAATAATGTAATATTCTTTAACTTTATAATTTTTATGCCTGATGCCAAACAACACATTAACCAAAGACGAAAAGATGAAAGTCAGGGTCAATACAATCCATGATAAACTTACACACATCCTTCCAGAACTTTTTTGTGTTGGAGCAGTGCTAGAACAGGTGTAGAAGAGTTTCTGGATTTACATCACAGAAAGAAAAGTTTAATATCCTTTTTAAATTTAGCAAGAAATTGGTTAACTGGATACCATCTACGTGGGCCAGATTCATAAAATGGGCCGCCAGGTTCACGGGATGTCAAGAACAAGTACTCAGAAATGTCGCGCCTGTCTCGTGATGCTGACGTAAATGTCCGCGGGATGATGTTTCAGTTGGCACTATTTTAGGTAATTTGGGGAAATTACAGAGATTCTTTATCCCGTACAAATCAGCCAGTCAAATCACGCATATATTACAATACCTGACCTGCTTGAAAGGGGCTTTAAAGGCAGTAACAAAACAGCCTGTTTAATTCTAAGGGATAAAGAAAGGTTTTAAAATGGTCATATAAAATTAATTATGTTTTGGTACCCTAACAAATGTTAGAAGTGGACATCAGTGACAAAAAATGAAATGCCAGAATATAGCCGCAAGTGCCAATCACAGGGGTCCAAGTACTGTTATTAGCACTATAAGTCCATTAATATCATAAGTTTTTGATAATCATTAGCATCTTTCAGCATCTTACAAGGCTCTCAAAACACAAACCATCACATTGCTTCAAGTTGTCCTTTGCTTCAGCAAGGACAGCTCAGGCAGAATTTAAATCAAACACCTTCTGATGGAAGAAACATGTTTTCATGGTCAGCCACAAGCAGCCCTTGGCAACACTGCATTTCTTGGGACAATTTATTGGTGGAACCAATAAGGAACCAACATAATTTTAAAACAACTACAACCCCATTTCCAAAAAAGTTGGGATGCTGTGCAAAATGTAAATAAAAACAAAATGCAATTTTGTGCAAACCATTTAAACCATATATTTATTTGAAAATAGTACAAAGACAAGATCAAATGTTGAAACTGAAATATTATTGTTTTTTGAAAAATATATGCCCATTTTGAATTTGATGGCAACAACTCGTTCCAAAAAAGTTGGGACGGGGGCATCAAAAGACTGGTAAAGTTGTGTAATGCTAAAAAAGCTCCTGGTGATTGATTGACAACAGGTCAGTAACATGACTGGGTATAAAGAAGCATCCCAGAGAGACTTTCCCAGAGTCTTTCAGAAGTAAAGATGAGGATGATTTCACCACTCTGTGAAAGACTGCACAAGCAAATAGCGCAACAATTCAAGAATAACATTTCTCAATGTAAAATAGCAAAGAAATTTTGCTGAAAATCACTGCATGGGCTCAGGAACACTTCTGAAAACCACTGTCTGTGAACACAGTTCATCACTGCATCCACAAATGCAAGTTAAAACTCTAAAATGCAAAGACAAAACTGTACATAAACATGATCCAGGAATGTCACCACTTTCTCTGGGCCCAAACTCATTTAAAATGGACGGAGGGGAAGTCGAAAAATGTCCTGTGGTCTGACAAATCAACATTTGAAATTATTTTTGGAAATCATGGACGCTGTGCTCTCTGGGCTAAAGACCACTCAGCTTGTTATCAGTGCACAATTCAAAAGCCAGTATTCATGATGGTATGGGGTGCAATAGTGCACATGGTATGAATGACGTGCACATCTGTGAAGGTACCAATAATGCTCAATGATATATACATGTTTTGGCAACATATGCTGCCATCCAGATGACGTCTTTTTCAGGGAAGGCATTGCTTATTTCAGCAAGACAATAACAAACCACATTTAGCATCTATTACAACAGCATTGCTCCATATTAAGAGTCTGGGAACTAAACTGACCTGCCTGCAGTCCAGACCTGTCACCCACTGAAAACATTTGGTGCATTATGAAATGAAAAATACGACAAAGGAGACCCCAAACTGTTAAGCAGCTGAAATCCTATATCAAACAAGAATGGGAAAACATTTCGCTTTCAAAACTACAGCGATTGGTGTACAGCGATTAAATCAACTTGCCTGACTTCCTGTGTAATTTGCAAAAACAGATGTATTTGCATAGTTTTAAGTGTTTATTAGGTGTGTTGTTTGGACCATGTGTTGTTTTCTTACTTTAATCTCAGAGGGATTTAATGATATTTCAGATTGTTGGCACTAGATACTGATTCAAGCCAAATTTCGAAAGCTTCCTTAGCTCATTATTTTGTGCATGACTATCAAATTTAGTCACAATTAAAGCATCACTGATGGATTTATAGACCCTTGTGTCAGAATAAGCCAGGCCAGACTGATTGACTCAAATCTTGCAGCCATGCTGTGCTAAAAACGCAAGCCTTGTGTAAGAATTATTGACCACAAGACTTTCCTGGTTATTTAAAGATCACAGTTAATAGGATGCAATAAAAATCCAGTGAGTAGTGTTTAAATTTTGAAGATTTGCTGGAAAACAGCAGTGTTTTTAAAAAGACTTACATTTGCCAAATTGTCGGCTTAGCAGAAAGCATAACATTCAGAAATTCTCTTGTGATTTGGCTCCCTCTGGTGGCTGAAAAAATATATCACCTGATATATTTTTTCAAATCAAATTACAGGAGTTCCTGTAAAGTTAATAAACATGCATATACTTGCACAATGTTAAGGCTCATTGGGTTTAAATCATTTTAAACCATTGTTGTGCCTTTTATTTTAAGCTTAGACAGAAATAATGACGTTGTAAAAAGTTGGCAGTACATTGACCATTTTAAAAGCCAATTCAAGCCGATTCAAGCCAAATGTCATATGTTTCCATAGCTGAGTATTGTCAGTGTACATATTAAAATTGGTTGCAATCAGAGCATCACTGACAGATTTATGGTTCCTTGTGTCAGAATAGGCCAGGCCTGCAATAATACCATGCTTAAAAGACAAGATTTTAAAAATAATTATTGACCTAGAGACTTCAACGGTTGTTGTGAGACCAAGCTTGAGACAACACAATGAAATTCCAGGAAGGATTATGGAAAAATCCATTTTGAAACTTGATGATTTGCAGAAAAACAACAGAGTTTTTAAAAAGACTTGTATTTGCAGAATTGTCAGGCTCAGTGGAAAGCATAACATTCTAAAATGTTCTTTGCCAAAGGATACAGCGAAGCTTTCCACTAACTGTATATTTCATGAATTCGTTCAACATTAACATTTGCAGTTACTGATTTTGCTCCTTCTGGTGGCTGGATAAAAATACAACTTTGGGTACATTTCCTGTAAAGGTTAAGTAATCTACACATATTTGCAAGGTGCAAATTTGCGACGCTCTGTGGAATACATAAAATTCAGAAACGTCCTTTGCCACAAGGCAGATATTGCAAAGGTTAAAGTATGTTTAAAATAATAATTTGCATTTAATGCTGATGCTCCCTCTGGTGGCCAGAGAAGATATTACCATTCCTGATTCTGTGGCCAAGATGGGTTTAACTCAAATTTCTGTATTTTCTCTGCAATGTTAAAACATACTTATAATTGCAATGTTTAGATGTTAATGAATTGAGTAATTTGAAACCATTATCTTTTCATTGTTTCCATTATCAAAAGATATAATGACATTTTCAATAAATATGCACTGGAATAGGTATTGCAAGGGCCTCTGGTAATCAATTTAAATGAGACTTCGCATGCTTCTTCAGACAATGGTAATGTACATTGTATAATGTACATTCCAAAGTTTTTCACAATCAGATAAAAACTGAAGAATCTATAGCCCCTTAAATCAGAAAAAGCCAGGCCAAACAGATTTATTGATGTCTCTTGACTTTATTCTTTACAACAAAGTCAAGATTTTTTAAAATAATTATTAACCAAAAGACTCCAGAGATTCTGAAAAAACCAAAGTTAA